GACGATGTCAGCTCCATGGAAACGTGCGTTATCGTCCATTAAAACAAAAGTAGGACCAACTGCTGCAGCGTACAATCTCACAATGGGTTCTAGGACTTCATCTCGATACCGGATAGCCGTCATAGAACCCCGTTTAAAGATGTGCAGGTCGGTGCGGTATCCTAATGAAATCCCTGCCCACACCATAATGCTTCCGCCTCAGAATGCGTGATGTTCGGTGATGTTTTGGGGATAATTGCGTGTGCCTTGTTTACGCCATATCCTTATACGCTTGTCATCTGGCTCCAGAGAAAATCTTGACTCATCAGTAAACATGACATTGCCCCAGTCAGACACAGTCTAATTGCCATATTCCCGGCACCACTTTAATCGTGTCCCTCTTGATTAGACGGATAGAGGAACACAAACTCGAGGTACCCGGGCATACAGTCTATTCATATGTAATCTTCGACGTACAGTAGCTGTAGATATAGCCTTACCAATGGAGGCTGTAACCATAGATTCCACACTTGTGGAGGTCGCTCTGCGATTCCGCTTGGCTACAATAGCAATATATCGATCTTCCGCGGGGGTTGTAACCCTTGGGCGACCACCTACGGGCCTTCGGACAACTGTCTGTGTGATTTTGGAATTGTTTTCATAAACGTGAAATTACAGAATGATGAACGCCGAAGAAAAGAGTAACATCTGTGATAGACTGTCCTTCTTCAATGCGCTCCACAGCACGCCAGCGCTCAGAGTCTTCCATTCGTTTTCTGGATGTCATAGAAACACGTATGTCTTGAAAAAAAAAAACTGTACGAAAGGTTTAAACACCTTCTATCAGCAATTACAATCAACTTCTGTAACCATTCATAAAGCTGGCTTCTTATAAGACTGTCCTTTTTGCATATTTATTGACATGAAAGCACGATTGACTGTTACCTAACCATATTTACATACTTCCATCTACCTCTTCAATTCTGATTGACTTCCGAAAATTAGCCTTTTCCTCTCCGTGCTTAACTTTTGGAAGTGAGTGTATATTTATATTAGATCAACATTCTATAGGTAGTTTTTGTAAAGGCAATTAAAAATGGTATTGCATCTGTTATTAAAAAATATTTTAATCAACTTTTAATATAATTTAGTCATTAATAATATTTATCTGTGATCCAAGTGCCACCCATTCATGCATTACGTTTAATAACTGGGATTTGTGCTTGATTTTTTCACATAAACTGTCGAAGTCTAGTTCTATTGAAATTAATTGCATCGGCATTCATATTCTGAGATTAATTTATTTCTATACTTTGTTTTTGTAGCTACATATGGTAAAAAATATTTTTCATTTATACTAATTGTTCCGAATTGCATTAAAATGTTTAGAGGAATACTGTGTATTTTGCATGAATTTGCAACATAAGATTTAGGAGCTTAAATTTAGAGTTTTGACATCGAATTTGTTGATAAGTCCATAAGTTGCTCCTTCTCCTTTATTGTAAGTGTTTTTTCAACAATTGCATGAATTTGCAGCATAAGATTTAGTAGCTGTTGTAGCTTAAATTTAGAGTTTTGACATCGAATTTGTTGATAAGTCCATAAGTTGCTCCCTCTCCTTTATTGTAAGTGTTTCTTCAACAATTGACAAAAGGTGCATTGTCCGTTGGAAAACTATTTAGTTTTTCGAGACATTGTACTAACGAGAGTACAATTATCTGGAAGGAACGGGACATTCAAAACAATAAAACATTTTAGAATCTAATAGGTAATATACAAAAATGTAAATCATTTTAATATTCTTTTATATATTATAATAAAAGTTTAAAGAGTATTGCCAAATAATGTTATAAGGTTGAAATAAAATTTTCAGTTTTTTAACGACAGGGATGAACTTTAAATTTTATTGGGTATGCAAACTTCATAGACATCGTGAATTCATTTTGCATACACATTTATAATTTTCTTTTCGTTTTTTTTATTGTATCGTGAAACCCCTGTATACCTTGTGAAACCCCAGGGTTCCGTGGAACACAGTTTGAAGATTATTTCTTTAAAAGAATCTATCTGGGTGCTTCGAGAGAATGCCCCCTACAATATAAAACAATCACTATAGGCATTTCTTCCCTAACGAAATCAACTGGTTTTCTTTCGCTTTGTGCTGTTAGTAAAGTACAATTTTTGCACCTCTCCCACCTTAAATTGGCCGCGGTGGCCGAGTGGTCTAGGCATCGGATCATGGCTAGTTTGTCATGGGTTCGATCCTAGTACCACTAAAGATCCGCCGTGTAGGGGAGCGATGCACGTTAAATCTGTCGAGAGCTCAAACGTCCTCCCGTTGGTGTGGTGTGGTAGTTAGGAGAGGGGGGTGCCAGCTCAGGTGTCGTCCGCGTCACTTGACCATGGTTCAAAATTACGCGGACCGTCCCCAAAAAGCCCTCGTGTAGCTGAACAGTGGGACGTTAATATTCACTCACTCACTCACCCACCTTAAATTATTCTCTTCATTTCTGACAATATGCTGTCTTATATAGTTTTTGCTTATACAAAGAAAATAAAAGAAACACAAAACTCAGGGGACTGAAAATCTTTTCGTGTTAAAAGAATTTCGTGCTAAAGGATTTTGCAAAAAAGCGCACAATCAACAAAATTAAGATTGTTAAATGCCTTTAATTTGCATAGATGTGTACATATGTATATATTTAATAAAGATCACTGAAACAAAAACATTCACAAGAACTTAATGAAATGTAATACAAAATTTTTAAGTTGTTGAAACTATTAAGATTTGCGAAATCATTTCGACATTTTTCTTTGCGTTTTCTCTTTTAGCATCAAATTGTTAACAAATTTTTCGATACGTTGTTCATTTTTAATACATTTCACTATTGAGATACGCGTCTAAATAACTGCACATACTCTTTCTTCATGAGGTTCCTCATTTTGAATGACATGGGATCAGGAACGGCAATATTCATTTCATTTTCGTTATGAATATCTGCATCAATAGTACTTTTGAGTTTTGAACAAACTTCAAAATGTCTTTGTCTGCCCTATTTAGGGCTTTACGCACATTATCAGCATTATTGTAATGAATTCTCTCGATAAAACTAGGATATTTCAATAATATAAAAACTTGCTCAAACATTTCATTGTCTAGTGTTTTCCACAATTTTTTCGTTCCCAGAAGTAATATCTTTTCGTGTTAAGCAATTTTGTTTCGTGTTAAGAGAAAAAATACATGTAAATCCATAGCAGTTTATCGAGACCCGTGTATTGTTTCGTGTTAACCGATATTTCGTCTTAAGCGGTTTATCGTTAAAAGGGGCTTCCCCGTTTATTGGTGTCTGGGTGTTAAAATAAAGATCAGTCATAGTCAGAACATCTTTAGTTTATTATTCCTTGCTAAATATCTACAATCCAGGGTCGGGAATACACCTTTAATTAAGTGTAGGAGTAAGAGCAAGGTAGAAGTTTTATTTAATAATGCTAAGATTCAATCAACCTACGTTTAGCACTCTTTGATCACTTACGGTCTGAATTACCGTAATTCCTTTCTGAGAAATTCGACCTCTGGTCGATATTATTCAGTTATAAGTTATTGGCTCAATTTTCAATCAACGTATCTTTAAATATTAAGCAAGTAATTGTCAAGCCGCTCTCGACTAGCTATCCAATACTTTGCGCTAACCTCTCTCTTTAACGTCTATCATCTAACTCATAACCTCTCTCTCGAACGAAAACGTTAATGCCTTCATTTACATAAGCCAAGTTTTCTTCTTCGGGAGAAAGTTTTCAATATCATATTTAAAGAAATAACTTTTTCCAAACGGATTAGTAGTAAGTTCACTGATAAACCCGTTACAATTTTACAGTATATTCAAAATAGCATTTTACTCGTGCTTACTTATTTGATAAGTTAATGTCCTTATTTAGAAGAAGCATTTCGAGATTTTACGAGAACAACTTCTTTAACAATAAATTTTCCTTATTTCCTCTCCTAAATTTCAGAAATTTTCAATTGGTGAAGGGTGTTATATAATGAGTGTTCGAAACTTGAGGAAATAAAGCATTTTATATGGGTGTTATATGTGTTTTTATTATATTAAAATATCTTTATTTACTTTGCATTTTGGAAAAAATTTAACTCATTGCTATCTATCTAAGTACACAACATATAAAATTATGACTTTTTTAAAGAACTGTGATTTCAAACACTTTGCACAATATTCCAATTTAAAGAATTCTCATCAAATCATTGTGTTTTTCATGTTTTCAATAAATGTCAGGAAAGATTAGGACTTTATCGTTGGGGGAAGGAGGATGACCAGAATGCCTAGCTCTTGGATTTTGAATGACTGTGATGTTGTGACTCTGCCCTTTGTTAAATTAAATTACATAAAAAGTAAAATAGAGTTTTAGTAGAATACTAAAAAATATACATATATAATAGAAAATAATATATAGAATGCATTAAATGCTTGAATATTAAAATCAAAATCAGTGTAAGCACCGAGAATGCAAGCAAATTTCAGATCTGTGGATCGGCGGGATTTAGCCACACCAATGGGGAAGTAGCTAAGAAACTCGATCGTAGAAAATATAGGAAAATCTTTAAATAAAGAAGTACATAAAAAACAGCTTTTGTAAAAGCTATAAAATAAATTACACGGAGAAAATTCACGAGGTATAAAAGATAAATAAATTAGATCAAAAGTATTATTTTTCCCAAGAAAAATAGAAACATTTTGAATAAGAACTCCTATGGATGTTCTGTAAGGACAATGTGTAAGTCGTTCAAAATCTAACTTTCTGACCACTAGGCCACAACTGACCCGGAAAAAGAGATGTAAAAAGCTTTTAACCTGGGTAAAAAGAGTTTATGAAGTTTAAAATAAGAATTTAATTGAAAAGTGGATCTATATAAGAATGTTTCTGGGTCTTTTAAAATTAAGAGATATTTCTCATTGTAATAAAAATCAATTTTAATCAAAAATAAATCAGATTCTCAGAAGTTAGGCCAACCCAGGTTGGATTCGAATCCAACGACCATCGGATTAGAAGTCCAACGTGCTATCCATTGCGCTACAGGGCCAAAACGAACGATTTGCCTATCTATATATGTTCTTGGAATATTACTTTTTACTATTTTTTTTAAATAGGACTTTAAAAATTTCATGCATGGAAGACAATTTTAGTGATAATTTCTGTATGAAAACATTATTCTTGTGTTGTACCATCAAATATTTACATTATTTACTAGTTAAGATGCAAAAAAGAATAATTTATTTCCAAAAATTTCGAATTTTTACTCATTTTTATTTTTAGTATGAGTAACGCGTATGGCAATAAAACTTTAAAAAAATAGTTATTTGACTTACAAAAATAACTACTTTTATTTTACAGATCAATCAACTTTGGGTCCATTGGATTCTTCATGGGGCATGAATTGACTCATGCATTTGATAATACTGGTAGGCAAATGTTTTGTTTTTCTTTTTTACTTCTCATTTTGTAGGTAATAACCATTATATAGGGCAGAGATGGCGAACCTTTTTGAGACGTGTGTCAAATTTTGTTCACATTTTTTCAGTAATAACTCGTGGGTCACTAATGCCCCTTTGCATCAGAGTTAAGTTTAAAATTTTCTGAGTATTTTTAAAACTAAACATCTTTAAAAGTCAATTGCTTAACGAGTAAAAATAAGTGAGGTTTGACGATTTAAAATTATTTATTAGGGCTAAAAGTTCTTAAGTGCTTAGGGCAAATGGCAATGGTGTTTGAAAGAACAAGGAGTAACAAAAATTACATACTATACACAGGGTGTCCAGCCCAATGTGACCCAATAGCTAATTCCCGAACCATTCGGTTTGAAAAATGTTTTTAAAAAGGTAAAGAATGTTTTTACGTGCTTTTCGAACAAAAAAAACTCATTTACAAAAAAAATTACAAAAATTAAATTTTTATACGGTTCCCAGGTCCTATCACTTATGTTTAGGAAAAGATGCAGTACACAAAAACAAAGTAAACACAAAAAGTTTCATTTTATTACGATAAAAACTGACCGAGTTATGCCCACATAAATTTGAAGCATCTGAGTTGCTCAGAAAAGGGGGGTCGTGTATAAATTGAGTTTAGAGAACAGTAATTCACTATCTACAGAAAGAGCAAATGAAAAACTTCATAGTAATATTAAAACATCGTAGTAAACATCATAGATTGACAATTTGTATTGCTGTATGGCAAACAATAAAAATTAAATTAAAGAAATACAACTTGTACAGAAAAGATTAAAACAGCTTATTTTAACAAATAGCAGCAAAATAATACATGACTTGCCGTTTAAATTATAGCATAATGTGGAATCATGCGCTAATCATGAATCAGGGGCTTTATTATATCAGAATGACCAAATTAACTTAAATAATGGTGAAGGCACGAGGTGTGACGCGAGACAAGGGGATACGTCTATGACAACTCACAGTTTTATACAAGCGTTGAACAGCAAGGGCGATTGTACAATAAGATGATGTCTTCGAGTGAGAAATTTAATAACATAGTCTTGTCGCCTCTCTCTTATTTCGATTACACTGCACATAAGACAGTATCATTTCGCAGTATTCTTCATTTGTATACATCTCGTTCTCCCTTACTAGAATTCGTAATATTAGAATACGACTGTATGCAATTGCAAGCGACCACACAACAGATTTTTAACGTTCGCCATGATCAGCAAAAAAGCAGCAAATCAGACTGAAGCCATAGCATATAAGTCTATTTTTTGGAATTGCTTTTGAAATGTTTTCTTCTTCCAAAATATTTTATTTTTTCTATGTTTTACACGTACACGGAATAAATTTTATTTCTTAAGTACTCAATTATTGTATTAGTAACGTATGCTTTTAATATAAACGATTTACATAAAAGTGACATGCAAGAATGAAAGTTTCCTGGCAGAGTTCCAACTAATTTCACTTTGGAGACGGACCCTTTCTAGCTTCTTGAAAATAGCTAAAAAAATGGGTAAAATATATGTTTTTCGAAGTTCTATAACTCGGCCAGTTTTTATCGTAATAAAATGAAACTTTTTGCGTTTACTTTGTTTTTGTGTACTGCATATTTTCCTAAATATAAGTTATAGGACCTGGGAACCATATAAAAAATTAATTTTTGTAATTTTTTTCTAAATGGGTTTTTTGGTTCGAAAAGCAGGTAGAAACATTCTTTACCTGTTTTAAAACATTTTTCAAATTGGAAGTGCATATATAAACCGAACGGTTCGGGAATTAGCTATTGGGTCACATTAAGGCTGGACACCCTGTATATTGTGAAGTATTATGTATATATATATACCTAGATAAAGTTGTATGCAGTCACATTCCAAATTCTATCAAATTATTTGGAAGAGTCAAAAATAAAGAAATTTTTATTGGGATTAATAACATGTCTGTTTTTAGAAATACTTAAGATGCTTTTATAATTGAAGGGAAAAAATTTACTGTTGCAATTTTACTCAAAACATTTCTTAACGATATTATTTTGGCGAGGTATATATTTCTTATAAATAAAGAATTAATAATTGGGGTAAATTGTTATTTAAAAGTGATTCAAAATTTTAAAAAAATTTAAAGAATGGATAATTATAAGACATTAAAGCTAAGATCTTTTTTTATCAAACGTGGTTACTGCGGTGAATCCCAATAATTTTTTTACTGAAAGATAATATGGGCATATTTTTATTAATAAAATGAACAAAAAATTATTCAGTAATTCATTCGCAAACGATATATGAAGGCAAAGTAAAGCGATTTTAATGCAATAAAAAAGTCAGCTTCTTAAGCGAAAACGGTGGGCGGAAGGAGAGTAATGCTTTGTAAACACAATAAATACGTCAGCTTTCAAAATGAAGACGTTGTCTGCACACAAAATAAAGCTATGTGTCAGTATCCTGAGCAAAGACAGTTTCCCGAGACAGAGTAAAGCTGTGTGTCAGTATCTGTAATGAATGATAGTGTCCAAAGACAGGGTAAAGGTATATGGATACAATATAAACGTGAGCCTCACAAGCGAGGAGAGTTTCCAAGACAGGGTAATGCTATGAGTCAGCCTCCTAAATGAGGGGGCTCTCCAAAGACAGGGTAATGCTATGAGTCAGCATCCTAAATCAGGATGGTTTCCAAAGACGGGGTAAAGGTAAATGGACACAATAAAAACGGGAGCTTCCTAAGCGACGACGGTTTTCTAATACAAGGTAAAGCTGTATCAGTATAAGGAAAACTTCAGATTCTACCGTTTTTACTCAGAAAGGCTTTAATGATATAATCGATTCGCTATCGTATAATATTAGTGAGTATGAACTTGTTTTTAGTTATTTTTAGACAGTTTTAAAGGGAAAAAAATGCTTTTGATGTATCTCAGTAGTGGTATATTTTACTGTTTCATCAGCATATTTTTAAATAAAAGTAACTGAGCTATTGAAGGTTGTACATACCGTTAACTCTATATAATTAAGTAGGAACAAAATATTTAAGTCCGTACAATCAGAAGTCATTTCAATTCTTCAATCTTTTAAGATTCCTCGGCATACTCGAAATAGTAATATACCAAAATCTGGACTTCGTTCTTTTGGTCAACTTCATTTTTTTTAAAGGATTGAACTTCTTTTTTTCGTACCTGAGTTAAGATTTTACTGATTTCACCCAATGAGAAATGTGATAAACCTGGTAAAGACTCAAGAAATTTTCTCAAAAGAGTAATAAATTGCGTGGTCGAATTTTGCGTGGTGAATTCCATCTGTGTTAGGCAGGATTCTTTTTTTAATGGTAGTAAATAGCTAATTTCTACAGTTTTATTTTTAATAAATGATGTCCTAATTTTTTCCACTTCCCATAATGAAGTCGCCTTTTTAGTATTTAATCTTCTTTCAGCCTCAAATGATTTATTTATTTATTTTAAATTTTTTACAGCTTTCGCTTGTTTTAATTTCTTTTTCTACAATCATTTTGAAATTCTTCACATTCAATTTCCCTCTTTACTTTTCTGCGCCATTTTACTTGGAAAAAAAGCGAATTTCTTCTTATTTCGCTTTTTAAATCATTTTAAATGGTTGTAATTCTACAGTTCTCAGTTGTTTCATCAAGTTTCAGAATATTTTTTTATTCTTTATATTTCGCGATGTGCCAGGCGGCCATATTGAATAAAATCTACATTCCGTCTATAGCCTGTTTGGCGTGATTTTATTTACGCCTAAGACTGTAATAGAATACAAATATACTAGAGTAGATTTAGAAGAATTAAATATTGCACTTAAAAAAACGTGTACACTTGAAATAAACAAAAATTCTAGTAACTACTGTATTTAGATGACCAGAACACAGTAGTTGAGTCCAAACCGTTGCAAAAGTGTTTTACTTATGTAGACGTCACCTTATGAATACAAATAAGTACGAATCTATATGTTGTCTTGCAGTTCCGTTACGTTTTTTATTCTGCTAAGCTCCATAGTCTTTCGGGTACTTACGTATTAGACCATATTTTTGGTAATACTTCACTGTGTTCGCTTTTGAAGAAAATAAGTTCCCAAATTTAATCATTTTTTACAACAGAATAAGAGAAGAAGAATACAAAAGATTTACCAATTAAAATAATATTATCTTCGATCAGATTATTGTGCTTCAACATGTGCTAAACAAAAGTATAAACTATAAAAGAAGAGTAACTTTCGAGTATGGTGCTAGCAAAATTAGTGCGTTTGAATAAGCGTAGGAATGATATTCCTTTATTGGTGGCAGATCGAGGCAATTGGCGACGTTATTCAATTCGATGTTATAATACTTTATACGTATTGTACTATCCATATATGATATGTATCACAATCATCAATATAGATATTTATCAATTTATTAATACATTTGTTGGTTCTTTGCATCAAAATTAAAATGATTTTTGAGGAAAATATTTCTAAAAAGTATTCTTTAAGAATATACAATTTTGGTGACGCGGTTTGCGTTAGCTTTTTTCACTACAATACTGTGCGAGTTAATTGGGGCAAACACGCAATTTTTTACAAATGTTTTTTAATTAGTATAGGTCAAC